TCCTGAGTTGAAGGGATCCTCCCACGTAGGTCTCCCAGAATGCAAAGATTACAGGTGTGAGCCACCACACCTGGCCTACATGTAAAATTTTATCTTCAATCCTTAACAATCTGGGAAGTAAATACTGTTATGAGCCTCAGATGTATATAAGAAAAACTAGGCTCAGGCCAGGCACCGTGGCTCACGCCTGTAATCTTAACACCTTGGGAGGCCAAGGCAGGTGAACTGCCTGAGCTCTCAGGTTCGAGACCAGCCTGAGCAAGAGCCAGGACCCTGTCTCTAAAAATAGCTGGGCTTTGTGTCAGGCACCCATAGTCCTAGCTACTCCAGAGACTGAGGCAAGAGAATAATGTGAGCCCAAGAGTTTGAGGTTACTGTGAGCTATGATGCTACAAGACTCTACCAAGGGGGACAAAATAAAACTCCATCTCAAAAAAGAAAACAAAAAAGAAAAACCAGGCTCAGAGAGAGATTAAGTAATTTTTCCAAGATTGCACAGCCAATGAAGTGGCTAAGTCACGATTTGAAACAAAGTATGTTGGACTGCAGAGCTAGTGGTCTTAATGCCCATAATTAAGAGGTTTTTTCTTTTTTTTTTTTTGGAGGCAGAGTCTCATTATGTCACCCTCAGTAGAGTGCTGTGGCGTCAGAGCTCACAGAAATCTCAAACTCTTGGGCTTAAGTGACTCTCCTGTCTCAGCCTCACAAGTACCTGGGACTACAGGTGGCCGCCACAACACCTAGCTACATTCTTTTGTTGCAGTTGTTTAGCTAGCCCCGGCCAGGTTTGAACCCGCCACCCTTGGTGTATATGGCTGACACCATAACCACTGTGCTACAGTCGCCGAGGCCATAATCAAGTGGCCTGGAAGATCAATGTTAGGTCCCTTTACTTCAGATGGAATCTGAGGCTCAAAGAAGTTGGAGGATTTGTCTAGGGCCCTAAAGCTAGAAAGAGAGGCCAAATTTTTTTTTTTTTTTTGGTTTTTTTTTTGCAACAGAGTCTTTCATTTTGTTGCCCCCAGTAGAGTACCTTGGCATCACAGCTCACAGCAACCTCAAACTCTTGTGCTTTAATTATTCCCTTGTCTCAGTCTCCCAAGTAGCTGAGACTACAAGCACCTGGCTATTTTTTGTTTTAGAGACGAGGTCTTATTCTGGCTCAGGCTGGTCTTGAGCTCGTGAGATCAGTCAGTCCACCCACCTGATTCTCCCAGAGTGCTGGGGTTACAGGTGTGAGCCACTGTACCGGCCCTTTTATTTTTATTTATTTTATTTTATTTTGTAGAGACAGAGTTTCACTTTATCTCCATAGAGTGCCATAGCATCACAGCTCACAGCAACCTCCAACTCCTGGGCTTAGGCGATTCTCTTACCTCAGCCTCTGCAGTAGCTAGAAATACAGGCGCCTGCCACAACACCCAGCAGCTATTTTGTTGTTGCTGTTGTTGCAGTTTGGCCAGGGCTGGGTTTGAACCTGTCACTCTTGGTATATGGGGCCAGCACCCTACCGACTGAGCCACAGGCGCCACCCCAGCCCTTTTATTTTTTTAGAGATAGGGTCTCACTCTGTTGCCCAGGTTAGAGTGTGGTGGTGTGATCACACCTACTGAGTAGCTGGGTCTACAGGCACATGCCCACACCTAGTTAAAAGAGGCAAGATTCTAACTCAGGCTTCTATCTCCAGAGCCCAAGTCTGTGATCTTGAGGCTACAAGATAACCACATGCATTACCAATTTCAGCCTCAGGGAAGGTGGCCTCACCTTGAACCTTTATCTAAATCTCTTTTGGGACAAAGGTATTCCTTCAGCATCTGTGGGCTGCTGATTCTCCTGCTTTAGAAATATCACAATCTCTGGAGCCATCACTCAAGTAGAGCTGTGGCTGGGCAAGATGCCCAGGATGGCCGTGATGGTCCCATCCCTGCTGTCTTCTCCCCTCCACTGCAATAGGACTAAAAAGGCAATAGAGACTTCAGAAGGCTGTGCCTCCGTGAGTAGTACTTGGGACAGGTCACCCTGGTAAGTTTCCCATTCATGAAATAATTTGCATCCAGGTAAAATCCGAAGGAGATGATGTAAAATATAAAATAGGGCAGGTGACTGCCCTGCCATGGAACAGTGCAGCAGAGTGAGGAATAGATTATTATCTCAGGGACAATAACATTATAAAGCAGTGATTCTCAACTACTCACCAAGGGACACATACAATGCCTGGAAACATTTGTGGTTGTCACAATTTGAAGAAATGCAACTGCCATCTTGTGTTTGGAGGCCAGGGATGCTGCTAAACAAACATCCTACCATGCACAGTATAGCCCCACCACCACCAAAAGAGTGATCCAGCCCGAACACCAACATTGCCAAGGTTGAGAAACTGTTCTAAAGCAACCTTTGGTGATTCTTTCACCTCCTCCAGCCTAGCTAGGTCTGGCAACCAGGTTGGAGGGCCACTTGGCAAAAATGCTTTGATAGAATATGTCTCTGTTGGAGAGAAGGGGTAGGGACGGGGAGGCAGGCCAATTGTATGCTAAGGTCCTTTATAAATCAAGTCATATTCCTGTCTGGCTCAAAACCTTCCAGTGAGGCTGGGCATGGTAGCTCATGCCTATAATCCTAGCACTCTGGGAGGCCAAGGCAAGTGCATTGCTTGAGCTCAGAAGTTCAAGACCAAGCAGAAGGGCGGTGCCTGTGGCTCAGGGCACCAGCCCCATATACCAGGGGTGGCAGGTTTGAACCCAGCCCTGGGCAAAATGCAACAAAAAAATAGCTGGGCATTGTGGCGGGTACCTGTAGTCCCAGCTACTCAGGAGGCTGAGGCAAGAGAATCGCCTAAGCCTAAGAGCTGGAGGTTGCTGTGAGCTGTGATGTCACAGCACCCTGCTAAGGGCGACAAAGTGAAACTGTCTCTGAAAAAAAAAAGACCAAGCTGAGGAAAGCAAGACCCCATCTCCACAAAAAAGAAAAACTAGCTGGGCATTGTGGCAGGTACCTGTAGTCCCAGCTACTTAGGAGGCTGAGACAAGAGGATTGCTGGAGCCCAAGAGTTTGAGGTTGATGTGAGCTATGATGTCACAGAGCTCAACCCCAGGTTGACAGAGTAAGACCTTAACCCGGCCGTGAAAATTTTTTTTTACTACTTTATTGTCTACTTCTCCAACTAGAATGTAAGCTCCATGCGGCAGCTACCTTGTTGTCTAGTTCACTATTATATACACAGAATATGGGACATCATGTGGCAAAGGCTAAATAAATGAATGAGTTCTTTAGTAGTTGGGAACACTTACCCCCTCCCCAACCACTACTACCCCTGTCCTCCCTGCCTGGGGCTGGAGAATGCCAATATTTGTCATACCTTAGGGAAAGCAATATCCCTGAAATAAGTAACACAGTGCAGCAATTAAGTGCAAGACCTGGGGTTGAATACTACCTCCACTAATACTGGCTTTGTGAAATTAGCACATTGCTTAACTGCTCCGAGCCTTTGTTTCCTCTTTAATTAAAACAGGTTAACAGGCTGGGCTTGCTGGCTCACACCCATAATCCCAGCACTCTGGGAGGCCAGGGCAGGAAGACTGCTTGAGGCCCGGAGTTTGATATCAGTCTGAGTAGGATAAAGACCCCTTTCCTACAAAAACCAGGAAAAATGAGTCACCCATAGTGGTATATGCATTTAGTCCCAGCTGCTAGGGAGGCTGAGGCAGGAGGATCACTTGAACCAAGGAGTTTGAGATTGCAGTGTACTACAATGACACTACTACGCTCATACCCTGGGCGACAGAGCTCAAATACAATGTCTCAAAAACAAACAAAAGGCTTGGTGCCTATAGCTCAAGCGGCTAAGGTGCCAGCCACAGACACTTGAGCTGGCGGGTTCAAATCCAACCCGGGCCTACCAAACAATGACAACTACAGCCAAAAAAAATAGCTAGGTGTTTTGGTGGGCACCTGTAGTCCTAGCTACTTGGGAAGCTGTGGCAAGAGAATCACTTAAGCCCAGGAGTTGGAGGTTGCTGTGAGCTGTGATGCCATGGCACCCTACCCATGGTGACAGCTTGAGACTCTGTCTCAAAAAAAAAAAAAAAATCACAAACAAAAATAGGCCAGACCTCGTGGCTCACAGCCCTAATCCTCACACTCTGGGAGGCTGAGGAGGGTGGATTGCTTGAGCTCACAGGTTCAAGACCAGCGTGAGCCGGCCTTGTGGCAGACACCTATAGTCCCAGCTACTCGGGAAGCTGGGGCAAGAGAATGGCTTAAGCCCAAGAGTCAGAGGTTGCTGTAAGCTGTAACTGACACCACAGCACTCTCTTGAGGGCGACATAGTGACGTTCTGTCTTAAAAATAACAACAACAAAAAAATATACTTGGCACCAGTGGCTCAAGCGGCTAAGGTGCCAGCCATATACACCTGAGCCGGCTGTTCATATCCAGCCCGGGCCCGCCGGGCCCAACAATAACGGCTACAACCAAAAAATAGCCGGGCGTTGTAGTGGGCACCTGTAGTCCCAGCTACTTGGGAGGCTGAGGCAGGAGACTCACTTGAGCCCAGGAGTTGGAGGTTGCTGAGAGCTGTGATGCCACACACTCTACCCAGGGGAACAGCTTGAGGCTCTGTCTCAAAATAAATAAATAAATAAATAAACAGGGTGGCACTTGTGGCTCAAGGAGTAGGGTGCCCGCTCCATATACCAGAGGTGGCAGGTTCAAACCCGGCCCTGGCCAAAAACTGCAAAATAAATATAAAAGTAAAATAAAATAAAATAAATAAGCAGGGTGGTGTCTGTGGCTCAAGGAGTAGGATGCCAGCTCCATGTACCAGGGGTGGTGGGTTTGAGCCCAGCCCTAGCCAAAATTGCAAAAATAAATAAATAAAATAAAATAAATATCCCTGCCCATGGCGATAGTTTAGGATATATCTCTTTTCTTGGAATGTCCTTCCTGTACCTTTCTTTTGCCCCTTCTAATAACTGCCAGATGCACAGAAGCTGGAAACTCACATTCACGTGCAGAAAACGAAGATATTCATGGCCTAGGGAGCCTTCAGGCAGGCTCTGGAGCTTGCCTAGGTCGAGGGTAGACAGTGAGATCCTGGGACGCTCTCTGAAAGACAGGAGTTGGGTATTAGCAAAGGCAACTGAAAGGTCTAGAGCAGACTAGAGCAGGGGCACAGAGCAGCAATGTGGGCTTAATAAGCCTTAATGGAATACCCACAACAGGCCAGGCCAGTCACAGACTGAGGAGACTGTAACAAATCAAGGACATGGTTCCTGTCTGCAGGAGTACAATCTAGGCATCAAGGCAGGCCTCAACAGTGACCAGGGTACTTACAAAAGATAATGCAAGGGGTTGACGGGGTACAGCTAGTATGAAACTAGACTAAGGCCATCCCAGAGATCATCACAGGGTATACATATATATGTAAATGGCAACCCTGGAATTGGGCAGTACCCTGCCCGTGCAATCATCTATGACCAGGATATCAAGAAGAGCTCCCCAGAGCTGGGTACGGCGGCTCACACCTGTTATCCTAGCACTCTGGGAGGCCTAGGCAAGTGGACTGCTTGAGCTCAGAAGTTCAAGACCAAGCTGAGGAAAGCAAGACCCTATCTTTGCAAAATAGAAAAACTATCTGGGTGTTGTGGAGGATGCCTGTAGTCCCAAGCTACTCAGGAGGCTGAGGCAAGAGGATCACTTGAGCCCAAGAATTTGAGGTTGCTGTGAGCTATGATATCACAAAACTCAACCCCAGGTTGACAGAGTAAGACTTTTTTTCTTTTTAACTAACCATTATATGAATGAGGACAGAGTACGACTTTGTCTCAACAACAACAACAACGGGCTCGGCGCCTATAGCTCAACCGGCTAAGGCGCTAGCCACGTATACCTAAAGTGGCGGGTTCAAATCCCCAGCCCGGACCTGCCAAACAACAATGACGGCTGCAACCAAAAAATAGCAAGGCGTTGTGGCGGGCGCCTGTGGTCCCAGCTACTTGGAAGGCGGAGGCAGGAGACTTGCTTGAGCCCAGGAGTTGGAGGTTGCTGTGAGCTGTAATGCCACGGCACTCTACCCAGGGGGATAGCTTGAGGCTCTGTCTCAACAACAACAACAACAACAACAACAACAACAACAGACCTCCCCAGAGAAAGAGAACTGACACAATGTGACTCTAGAGATGTCAGGATCCCTGGAGAATGTTTCCAATTCCCCATGTAGATCTGGGACCTACTGTAGGATCTGGGCACCCTCTGGATCCCTCCTCATCTGGTCTCTGAGGACTTTCAGAGTATGATGTCCTGTGGTCTCCCCGAGAACTGCAACCATGTCTGAAAGGACAGAAATGGGCACAAATAGGGTTATGATCTTAATTTACCCTACCTAGTCTAAGTCTTAGTTTCCTATATGATAAAATAAGGACAGTATTTACCTCTTAGGTATGGATTTAAGCTCAAAACTCAGCAAATTGGCTCAGTACCTGTAGCTCAGCAGCTAAGGCGTCAGCCACATACACTGGAGCTGGCGGGTTTGAATCTAGCCTGGGCCTGCCAAACAATGACAAGTACAACCAAAAAATAGCCGGGCATTATGGGATGAGCCTATAGTCCCAGCTACTCAGGAGAATGAGGCAGGAGAATCGCTTAGCCCATGAGTTTGAAGTTGCTGTGAGCCGTGATGCAACGTGTCTACCAAGGGCGACAAAGTGAGACTCTGTCTCAAAAACAAAAATAAAGGTATCAAGTCCGAAATTATCCTGGATGAAGACTTATGCAGTATCCTGCAGTGGATTCCTACATTTTCCAATAGTATTTGAGGGAATGGGTGTTTACAATAATATTCTGGAAACTAGCAGGGCACCAATTTTAAATATAGGCCAAAGTTTTTAAAGTGGATTCCTTGATAATAAATAAAATGGTTAACTTATGTGGGGAAAAAAAACTTAGCAAATCATCCAGCACATGAAAGGGCTCAATGTACCTACACATAGTTGCTACATAGTGTTATTAATCTATAAGAGTGGAATGCAAGTGGAATGGCTCTGGTTGGCACAGTGCTCTCAAGAGTTTATAAATTACTTCTACATCCATTAGCACAACAGGGTATCATGTCTCCATTAATTGGTACAGACTTTGGCTTCAGAGATTGATGGGTTTGAGCCCAGGCCCATTCACTATTCTTTTCAAACTGCTTCATATTTTTTTTTTTTTT